GATCATTGGAGAATTCATCTTGGTGAAATCTAGGGGGTCTCTTTGAACGTAATTTACACGTTCATTCCTCAATTTCCCACCCCTGAGACCTAATTACCGGTCCGGCAAAAATAATGATCTGTCGATTGACCCTATCATTATATTTTTTGAGGGCCTACAGGGGCTGGCATTTAGTTACCCGTAAAACGCGTTTTTTCTAGGGAATTCCCTAGGGACATGTCGGGCAAAAATCCCTCCACCCGGGCCTTAATTGAATAATCTTTTGAAAAACGATCGAAGCCCCATCTCTTCGATGGGACAATATCATATCCCGGAGTTGTCCGAACCTCAGAGAACTGAAGATTAGTGAAATGCAAAAAAAGTAATCAAAAGAAATCAAAAATAGGGCGAGAACTGCCGGGTGTGTCTAATTAAAAAATTGGGTGCTAAATACGATATGAATGAGATTCTAGTGAATTTTACTGGATGAAAATCATGGAAATTAAGGCAGTGGTTTTATTTGTGATCGTCCTGATCAATTTGGGAACATCCAGGGCAATTTATAATGACTCCTTTGATGAGGAGTTGCTCCTGAAACCTCTGGCATCAGGACATGTTTACGCGTATTTTCAGTTCACTACTCTTTGGAGGGTTCAGAGAGATTCCAAACAATGTAGGTTTTCTCTCATTTATTTGTTTTTATTTCATTTTCATTTTATTACTTTTTATTATTCTCACACTTCAACAATTGAAGTCTGCAGTTGTCTTTAACCACTCGTTCTTCGTTTATACAAGTTACTTGACTTGTTGTTTTAATTTAAGTTTTTTTTAATTTTTGTAGTGCAGCATTCCCATCTCTTCCCAAGAGGACTGAGTGTGTTAATTGACAGGCATCATGTACAAGAGCTGCACATCAGCCTGACTGATGGGCTCTGGAGGTACAGGAAATGGGGCTATCCTGTGGTGGATGCAGGACCTGGGGCTGACATCTACGCTTGGTTCCAGTCAGAAGTCCAGGAGTAAGAATTAATACGATATAGAGGCATTTATTTACTCATATTTAATCTGTTGTTTAGATAAACGAATCGAGAAGTTGATAAAAAATATTGAACATTGACTGGAGCAGCTAATAATTATTTATGCATCTAGTGTGGATAAGGAATGGAAAGCCCTGATGAATGCGCTGTCAGGACTGCTTTGTGCCTCCCTGAACTTCGTGGACGCCTCCAACAGTATGTCCCCAGAGTTCAGCTTTCGTCCAATGGGTGTTGTAGAAAAATTCCCCAACTCCAGTCACCTCAGATATGCATCCCTCCCGAGGGAGATCGTCTGCACGGAAAACCTCACCCCCTTCAAGAAGCTCCTACCCTGCGACTCAAAAAAAGGTCTGGCAACTCTCCTAAACTCTGCGTACATCCACAACACGAATTACCACTCCATCGGTATTCACTTTCGGTCAGTCTGTGCGAATGCCGGTTGTACCCTGTCATCCTTGGAATTGAGACAGTCCATTTCTCTGGTTTATGACACAATGATCGAGGGAAATCAGGACTGGTCCCTCAGAAAACTATTTGGCATGGGCCTCATGGGGGTATGCCCTTTGGCCACCCTCAGCAATATTTACGTTGACACCAGCACGAACAACAGCATCCACACGTACAGATTGACACCGAATCCCAGTGCAACTATTTTGAGTCTCCGAGGGGGACAGAAAGCTGAAGTAGCTGTTTATGATAATAGGGCATTCACCAGTCGTGGGGCTTTCAATGTCGCTGCTGTTCACTCAAAACAGAGGACTGGAGGCGTCGAGTTCCCCTCGATACTCTCTGCTAATCGATATATCGTTGGTAATTATTAATTCATCGGGGAAGCCACCCCGATAAATTTAAACAAGAATTATTATATGAATTCCTCATGTTTTAGCGTATGGCCAAGAAAAAGCGACCTTGATAACGAAATTATACAACAACCACTGGCAGACTATCAACGTTGTGTTGCTGGAGAATATTCCCTGGTATTTGTCTATGTACTTACACTCCATGAGGATTGAACGAAATGGAGAGACCGTCAAACCTCGTGAGTTACTAAATTCTGCCTCTCGAAATTATTAATTCAACGGGTTTTGGGATTTAAGATAAATAACTTCTTTTCAGTGGCTCTCAGGTATTCCCCTGGGAGGGAGAGAGTCCAGCCTTATTATCTGGAACTAGTTCTACGTCTTCCCCCACATTCTGTTACCAAGTTTTCCATTGAAATGGATTATCTATTTCTGAAGTGGCAGGAGTATCCTCCGGATGCTAATCATGGATTTTATATGGGACCTGCGGTTATCACTGCCGTCCTCCCAACAGCCAGGAACTACACTGGATTACCTATTGATGGGAGTACAATTACTTCTAGGTAATTATCTTAGTTTTAACTCTGAATAAAAATTTTTGTGGAATTAATTTATTATTAGGGATTATTCGATGATTTTTGGTTCTAGTTTCAACGCGTCGAGGGCCGGTTACCTCGTTCAAATTCGCACAGAGACAATCCTGATAAGTTTGCCAACCCCCGACTTCAGCATGCCATACAATGTTATCTGTCTAGCATCTACGACAGTGGCACTGGC